TTTGTTGACTGCCCTTGAAGTTGAAAATGGCTCTGCTGATGGATTGTATACGGCTGTTAAAACTTTTTGAAGTACGAGCAATACCACTAAGTAATGTCGTTGGTTTTGCTAGCGACAATTTTCGACAATGTTGGGTGGAGAGAAGGTTTCCAAACTCTTTTAAAAAATGTACTTGGTGCATTTGTCTTTGATTGTATTTGTCAGTCCTTTGCTCTCTGCGCGCACCATGCAAGTAGTCGCCTACCTTCTTGGTTGGAAGGATTTGTGAAAGACGTCTGCTGTTATTTTCCCGTATTAGTAGGGACAACACCAGTTCCGTCTCATACAAAATATTTTGAAAGCACCTCGTCATGAAGCTCTCAAACTTTCACAGACATAGTGGCTCTCTCGAGGCCAAGTTGTAGCAAAATTTTAGAAATGGGATGCATTAAAACTTTTTTTAATCTGAGTCTCAATGTGATCGTGTAGACGAGGCTGTCAAGATCTATGAAACCATGACGAAAAATTGAACAGAAACATATTATGGCATTCCTAAATTACATATTGTCAAAAGCTGATAGTTTAAATGCTGAATTTCAAGCTCAAGATTTCAAGCTGCACACTCTGTACAGTTCTATATCAGATGAGTATAGAAGCATTTTAGCCCTGTTAATCAAAGTCAAAGTAGTACGAGAAACACCGTTGGACGAGATTAATCCAAACAACGTAAAGATATACAAGCCTCTCGATGATATTCATCTCGGAGGAAGATGCGTAGGCCTGTGCACTCAACAGTCTTTGGGTAACCTAGAACAATGTTTCATAAGCGATTCTCCTAACTTCCTCGTTGAGTTATGTAACCAAATAAAAAAGAGGTTTTCTTTCAAAATTGATGGAGTTCTAGCTTTGCTATCAGCTATCAAATCTTCAAAGCCATTGTCCACCAGGCGATTACTAAACTCGATAGCGGTATTAGCACATATTTTCCGTCTTTAGTGTCTGAAGATCAGTTGGATGAACTTGATGATTAGTGGAGGCAATTGTTATATGCCACAGATTCTCTTAAGGGCATGGCTAACTCCCCAACTCAGTTTTGGGATGAGATCAGAGTTATTAAAGATGGTAACGGAAATAAGTTTGAACTTTTGGGAAATTTTATGTGCAACCTTCTTTTACCTCACTCATCAGAATTTTTTCCAAAGTTAGCATGATAAAGACTTCTCAAACCAACCGCCTGCATTGCTCAACTTTGAAAAGACTAATTGCAAAACAAGCTATTGTTCGACAAGGTGCACATTGCTACACATAGGAGCCGTCAACTAAACTTATAAAAGACATACAATTTGGTCATTGTCGGAGAGAGTATTTTAATAAACAAGGTCAGCGTCAGGAACAGGAAGAAAATCCAACTGATGTTTATGACAATAATAGCAAAGAGATTGTTGAAATAGGCTCTGGTTAGCATGTTTGATAATTTTATGTACTGTTATGTTTCACGAATTTTTGTTAGTCACGTAAAAAAATTGTATTAACTATTGTTTTTTTTTTTAGAATTTTTGATTTGACGTGATATCAAAACAAAAATGATGCGTTAATAGCGTACCAATGACAAAGGAATTCCCCGGAGACAACTGTTTTGCTGTACCTGGGGGATCTTGGGATATTTTAAAGGACCTTGGGACTTTTATCCCCAAAATCTTTGGAATTTCTAAAATAGTCAGTGGCAACACTGCATATTTCTCGACTGGCTGATCTTGAAGAACCAGCAATAAGTTCTCTCGTTCAAGTCAATAAGTTGGTAGTTCCTTGGCGACCAGATCGGTAAAATTCTATTTCGCTTCTCACACATTCACGACTAAGTTAATGAAGTTCACTAGACGGTAAAGTCGAGTATATATACAACTCTTTACGCCTTCGTCCTCCGTTTTGAATCATTTGGCACACGAGCAAGCAATACCAGGGAAAATGGTTTGATTTTGACAAAATATCAACTGTATGTACGGAATATGAAATTCCTTATAAGGAATTCCTGTATACAGTCCTCATGGTAAGTGATTCCATGCGAAAAATTTGGGAAGCAAGGCCAAACTTTCATTTAACTATGTGTGTTAACATAAAATTAAAATGCAATTTTGCCATTTAAGTAATTAAGCTTGCTATATTTTGGCTGTATTTGATATCTTTATTGCTCGAGTTAGTGAATAAACTGTGCATTGTATGATACATTTACCGCAGTTATGATGCTTCTGATCGTATGATGCTTATCAATGTGAACCAAACGCATCGAAAAACTTGCATTATGTGAAATGTTCTTCTCGTTTTAAAGATGAAGCAAAACTTATTATTTGCTATCGGCAAAAATCGTCGGAGGCATCTTTATGAATCGAACAACAACAAAATCCAGTCATCAATCTCTTAAGGAATGAAACATGATGAAATCTGATTCATGAATTGGGCAAATAATTCTTATTTTCGAATACATGCTTCGCTAGCGATCACAACTTTCAATAATTTGTCGGGTTCTGTACTTATTAGCTAATTAACATTGTTTATTGACTGCTTGGTTTCAGATCATCGTGGTTTGTTGGCGAGTTGAAACGAATTACGCAAAGGAAAATATATTTATTTAGGTTTCGAGCTTTGTACAACTTACAAATATTATTTGTGCCGGATTTATTCCAAATCATAACGTCAATTGATTATGAAAGTTATTAAATACGAATTATGGGCGGGAAATACATATTAAGTTCGATTACTTGCAAATGTACGAAGCCTTATTGACAGCTTTGAAATATTAAACATTTCTTATAAATTACAATTGGCACACTATCATGGGAAATATAGCTATCCTATATATGTAAAACAAAAAAGTCATTCGAGTTTTGAATTATAGGTTGAGTGTAGGATATATGCGTCAACAAACTGTTTTAAAATTTGCCGTCAAAGTATTTATAGCAGAAATGGTTTTTGAATTGTAATATTTCAAATGATAATAAGTTACTCATCAAAATTTGTTAGAAGTTTTCTGGAATTTACTTTTTCAATGTATGCACAATTACGTGACATGCAATATAAGAAAGGGCGTTTGGTGATTGTAGAATAGGTTATTAAGTTACTGGGTCATTTGACTGATGGCCCAGTCGGACTATTATACAACTCTTTACGCCTTCAGCCTAAAGCCACACTATCGTCCATATCGACGAAAATCAGAACGAAAACTGCCGCAACGAAAATTTTGAACGAAAACTCGACGAAAATTTCGTTTTCGTGCATATTAGAAGAGTTGAACTTTTTACCTTTTTCGTTGACGAAAACGCATACTATTGGCTAATAATATCAGACTTTGTACTCAAACATGGCGGAGTGGAAAGAGGTTCTTATAAATCAGGGCTAATAGACTTTCTAAGATGTGTGCCAGCTTTAGTGATGTGAGGTCTAATTAAATCCAAAATGTAGTCAAAATTTGTGGTTGTCATTCGCAAGTATTTTATGTGTCTATTTTCATTGTTCGGCTCTCGTAATTCTTTAATCAAGTTGTTAAATAGTCCAAGACGATCACGTCGCTTATTAATTGGATGAATCCAGTATCGACGTTTGCTGTTGCTTGTTTTCAACTTTAAAAGCAGTAACTTTTTCTTTAGAAAAAAGTAATCTTTCTTTTAGAGATCGCTATTTTTCTAATCCGTCAAAATGCCGCTTGCTTATTGGCCAAAAGTTTTGCTTTGCAAACATGCTTGTAATTTTTGTCGTGTCTGGCATGCATTTCGTGCACGAATTTTCGTTTCGTTTTCGTTTTCGTCAATATAGACGAGTGTAGTCCAAGCTTTCGTCCTCCGTTTGAATCATTTGGTAGACGAGCAAGCAATACCAGGAAAATGGTTTTGAGTTTGTTGACAAAATTTCAACTGTATGTCGGAATAGGAAATTCCTTACAGTCCATATGGTAAGTGATTCCATGCAAAAATTTGGGAAGCAAGGCCAAACTTTCATTTGACTTTGAGTTAACATAAAACTAAAATGCAATTTTGACATTTAAGTAATTAAGCTTGCTATATTTTGGCTGTATTTGATATCTTTATTGCTCGAGTTAGTGAATAAACTGTGCATTGTATGATACGTTTACCGCAGTTATGATGCTTCTGATCGTAAGATGTTTATCAATGTGAACTAAACGCATCGAAATACTTGCATTATGTGAAATGTTCTCGTTTAAAGATGAAACAAAACTTGTTATTTGCTATTGGCAAAAAATCGTCGGAGGCATCTTCATGAATCGAAAAACAACGAAAACCAGTCATCAATCTCCTAAGGAATGAAACATGATGAAATCTGATTCATGAATTGGGCAAATAATTCTTATTTTCAAATACATGCTTCGCTATCGATCACAAATTTCAATAACTTGTCGGGTTCTGTACTTATTAGCTAATTAACATTGTTTATTGACTGCTTGGTTTTCAGATCATCGTAGTTTGTTGGCGAGTTGAAATGAATTACGCAAAGAAAATATATTTATTTAATTTTCCAGCCTTGTACAAGTTACAAATATTATTTGTACAGGATTTATTCAAATCATAACATCAATTGATTATGAAAGTTATTAAACACGTGTCAACAATCGAATTATGAGCGAAATACATATTAAGTACGATTACTTGCACGAAGCCTTATTGACAGCTTTGAAATATTAAACATTTCTTATATATTACAATTGGAACACTATCATGGGAAATATAGCTATCCTATATATTTAAAACAAAAAAGTCATTCGAGTTTTGAATTATAGGTTGAGTGGAGGATAAATGCGTCAACAAACTGTTTTAAAATTTGCCGTCAAAGTATTTATAGCAGAAATGGTTTTTGAATTGTAATATTTCGAATGATAATAAGTTAATCATCAAAATTTGTTAGAAGTTTTCTGGACTTTACTTTTTCAATTTATGCACAATCACGTGACATGCAATATAAGAAAGGGCGTTTTGTGATTGTAGAATAGGTTATTAAGTTACTGGGTCATTTGACTGGTGACTCAGTCGGACTATTTATACAACTCTTTACGCCTTCGTCCTTTGTTTTGAATTATTTGGAACACGAGCAAGCAATACCAGGGAAAATGGTTTTGAGTTTGTTGACAAAATTTCAACACTATGTCCGGAATAGGAAATTCCTTACAGTCCTTATGGTAAGTGATTCCATGCAAAAATTTGGGAAGCAAAGCCAAACTTTCATTTAACTTTATGTGTTAACATAAAATTAAAATGCACAATTTGCCATTTAAGTAATTAACCTTGCTATATTTTGGCTGTATTTGATATCTTTATTGCTCGAGTTAGTGAATAAACTGTGCATTGTATGATACATTTAAACGCATCGAAATACTTGCATTATGCGAAATGTTCTTCTCGTTTTAAAGATGAAACAAAACTTATTATTCGCTATCGGCAAAGAACAACGAAACCCAGTCATCAATCTCTTAAGGAATGAAACATGATGAAATCTGATTCATGAATTGGGCAAATGAATTCTTATTTTCGAATACATGCTTCGCTAGCAATCACAAATTTCAATAATTCGTCGGGTTCTGTACTTATTAGCTAATTAACATTGTTTATTGACTGCTTGGTTTTCAGATCTGCCGTAGTTTGTTGGCGAGTTGAAATGAATGACGCAAACAAAATATATTTATTTAATTTTCCAGCCTTGTACAAGTTACAATTATCATTTGTACAGGATTTATTCCAAATCATAACGTCAATTGATTATGAAAGTTATTAAACACGTGTCAACAATCGAATGATGAGCGAGAAATACATATTAATGTCCTTGTATGACGAAAACTTAAAGATAAAAAATCATCGATTTTAGCATTCAATAGTTTAAACACATATCAATTATTGCTTTCGTAAAATGTAAGAAAAAATAATAAGATAAAAAGGGAGTTATGAACATTTGAAATGTCTAATTTTCCTGTCCGCCATTAAAATCGGCCATTTTGAATATATGCAATAAGCAAAGTCTGTGACGTCATAGTCTTAACACAAGAAGCGCACATTGGAAAGTATACAAAATAATACATAAATAGAGCAAACAAATGTCAAATTCATCGAGTTCTAGCTCGCTCTCAGAGTCTTCGATCGAGACAAACGCATCGGTTTCTTCATCCGGAATTTGTGACGACAAATTCGAACGAATCTAATTCGGAGATTTTGCCATTTTCCGATAATATTGAGCCGCTGGCTTCGCCCGATGAAATTGCTGAGTACGAAGCTGCAGTCGCAGAAGACGGTGGGTTGAAGACATGCTGCAAGATCGTTTTGATGCCCGTGTTGATGTTACTTCATGGAAAGATGTTATTCTTAGAGTGTTACATTGATCTGAATCGTTTGCCGTTAGCTATGATAACTTTATGGAAACATACAATTTGGCCAATATTAAAAGTGTGAATGTGGCCATTGTTCGTTGGATTTCGTTGTCAACCCTTAAGAGTGCCGATGCTGCATGGAAATAGAGCAATGCCGTGGTAAAATGTATCAGTACGAAATCGATGAAAGGAAATGCACTTAGCAGCTTCGTTAGGCTTAAAGCCAGTTAGGTTTAAGTCTTCTTTGTTCATGCTGGATACTGACACTTCATTTTGTATTTCCTTTAAAACCTTAGCATAAATGTATATTATATATTCGAAGTTTGCCTGGATATATTATTGCTTCTCTCAAATTGTGTGAATTTATCATCTGCAATATATGTAGGTATATAATAGTTGTAACTTGTGATAACGCCGCTCTCTTGACGTTGTTGGTGTTGGTGATTTCTTCCAAATAGTAGGTACGGCACCAGGTTTCAGCCGTCTAGTCATACCACTCAAATGGAATAAACGTTCAAAACAATCTTCGAGAAGTGATTCGACCAAATCACAAATCGAATTTCGCGCGAACTCGGATTAAAGTTTGCTTCGTCTGACCAAATTTAACTCAAATTCTTCTCAAAGACTCGTCATTTGGGCTTTTATGCAAAGAAATGCCTGTACTTCAATCAGTTTTATTACTGCAATCTTGCCCGACACAGCGTGCTCGGATGTTAAAAAAATTTGTCGTGCCCATCTAACGAAACAAGCCATAAAGGTCCTTCGGATGAACATGGAACTTTGAGCTTCTTAATTTTCTTGTTGACTCCTTCAGGATCCATATCTGTTAATATATTTTACACCAAATGTCATGGGACTTTAATGTTATGCTGCGTTCTTAGTATATGATCTAAAGCTCGATATCCCAAGCATTTACCAGGTCCCTCCAGTTCTTTAGAAATTACGTCGGTTACATCTTCCAAAAAAAGTTTCATAATTGATATACTTAAGCCTAAAGTGCTTATACCGTCGACTAAGTGTTGCCATGCTCCTTGGACATTGGGGATTGTCACGTTTAACGAAGTCCAGAATTTCACATTTTTTTAAGTTTTCGCGGACGTACTTATACAGAACGTTTTTTAAACTTTCGTTGTTTTCCTACTTGAAACTGCACGCCATTCTTAAACACGATATCGATCTTCAAATACCCGCCTGTTACATATCGCAAGGACTATGGGACGTTTTATGATACTGTATCGATGGGCCCGTGAAAATTTCACTTCTTCTTGTCCGTAACAGTGATACAAAAAAAATCGAAACCAAGCGTAATCTGATATTATAATGAAAATATAAATTAAAGTCAATCTTCAAGTAGGAAACGAACTGAACTCGTTTTGTACGATTAAATAAAATTACGTTGAAATTAACATTGAGAATAATGTGATCTTTAAAATAAAAGCAATATTACGCAAATTAAAGCTAAACTAATGTGATACTGCTGGGCCGCCATACATTTCCCACATTCACAGCATTCATTCATTCCAATCATTAAATTGCTAGTTGAGGCGTTGTACTACTACTGTTTTAGTATACTGTACATACAGTATGATAAGGCTCCAAATCTGTACTCATATTGCAAGTAATGACGCAGACAAGAACGCTTCTGGACAGAAATATAGACGACTTTTCTTGTTGACAACTTGACAACTAAACGTAGTCGACAAGCAAAAACCACCGTCTGTGGAATAAGTTGTCGACAACTAAACGTGTAAAATTGTAGTTGTCGCGACAACAAGCGGTTTCCCTATTTTTCAATCACACAAAATTACACAAAAGTGTTGTTTGTCGACTACATTTAGTTGTCGACTACGGAAAGTTGTCGACGACAAAATACCTAGTCTGTGGAGGCCCTTAGCAATTTTATTAACAAACCGATGTAGAGAAATATATATGGACCGTGATATTGATGATTTTTGGTTCAATCAAGCAGAGAAAAATGCCTTTTTTTGTTTGTTCAGTGATATAATAGTTAGAAAACGTTAATATAGATACTTTTGAAATATTTTTAAAAATATACTATTAAATGTTTCATAAGCCGTCTTTTTGTCACATAGATTTTTCATGTTTCTCTTGGTGATGACAATCTTAAGCTGGTGCACTTCATTTTTTCAAAGACTACTTTAGTTGATTATTGGATTTCTTGTGTGATATTTCCGAGGCTTTGTGCAAGTGTAGCATGGCTGTTATCGCTATGCAACAACGCAGTCAAACAACGCTCATTTTCTCCTTACTGTGCAACCTTTAGGTTTGACATACCTTCGGAAATGAACTACCTATTTTGTAAAATTCAGCTGGTTCCTCCATGGACGCATTCCGATGTTATTTATGACGAATTTTAGCGATTGGGCTCAATAAGGCCAAGAAATAATAAGAAATAACGAGAGTTACAGCGGCTCCTTACCTTTCATTTCTTAATCTAAATACATCGGAATATAATTTGTATGCTAGAGCTAAATGTATATCCAAATGCTTTAATTACGGCTTTATGGTATTTTGCATTCAAAATCAAACAAAACAAGTGATGCTTGAGAAGCCCCTTCGGTTACAAATCTCAACTAAATGAAAAAATTTGCTTTTTTAAATTGTGCTACGAAATATGTGTTTCTAGCTCAAACATGGTTGAAAAATGCCTTCATTTAGGTTTTTCACACATAGTTTTGCGCTTCCAGTGAATGCAAAAAATGGGCAAAACTGAAAGCATTTACATATTATCTAAAATATGTTCAGCATTCAATAAAAATGAATCAACATAACTGGCGAAAATTGGGTACGAAAATTTTTGAAATACTTTTGACACGACTGAAACAGGCCAAATAAAAAAGCTCAACATGCATTAGTGGTGAACACTGCCCCAATGTAAATACGTTCTTATCACAAATTGGAGACGCTAATATATAATTGCTAAAAAAATGCATTTAAGAAATAAAAGATGTTTACTGTGTTTTCTCAGGCTTATGCAAGCCGAGGAGACCTTAGGAGAACTTGAGAGCAGATCAGTGCAAGCCGAGACCAAAGGTCCAGGGTTGCACGTGCTCGAGAGTTCTCACAAACGTCTCAGAGGTTTGCATCAGCCTGTGCAACACAGTAAACATCTTTAATTTCTTTATAAAATAACAATAATGCGAAAAAAGACAAACATTTCAATTTTTTTTCTTAAATGTATTCAAGATTGATTTGCAAATTCTCTTTGACTGATTGATTCTTTAGATTGATTTGATTGGTTGAGCTCAGATGTGTTTTGCATAGGCTAATGCAAACTTAGCTCTAGACCAATTAGCGTACGCGTTTCATTGTGTTTTTTATAACAAATATAAGTAACAAAACTATCATTTCTTTTCTCCGATTTGTATTGAGCTACTAAATTTTGTACATACAAAACGAGTTTGCGCCATTGGTTTACGCGGACATCCTTTTAAAGTTGGCACAATTTAAAATGGCTTGAGGCAATCTACTTTACATAAAATAATAATGTTTTCAGATGCAAATTATCACCGCTAGAGTAAATTCTGTCTAGTCGAGAAGTGAACTTTGTAAAAACGTTATAATTTCAGTCTCAACTTAAGCCACATTAACCATCTTATAACTTGAATTCATTCAATAAACATATTTTTTCAGTACGGACCCCCTAGACGGTAAATGAGTTGTATTTGAGTTTGATTCGAGTCAAATTGTTAACATTAACTGAACGGTTACTATGTTTGGATGGTTGATCCAAACACACGAAATTAAGCGAGAGTTAATACAAGCGTGCCAAGAAAGAGCCGAGCCAATATTTGCAAGTGTTTGTATCAGGCTTACTAAACACATAAAAATGATGAAATCTTGTAGTAAATATTTCACAAAATAACAACTAGAAGAAAATGTTGTAACTTGTAGCTCTATTTATGCAACTGAAGTAAGCTGCAATATGGCATCAAGCTATCGTGGATGCGTTGTAAACTGTCTTCGCACTGATTAGGTCAGCAATTACTGCGATACGAGGAAGTCGATCTGCCTCAACTCGCGAACACACTTTAAATATTGACCTAGGTTATTGGGAAAGTTGTCTTTACACCTGACTTTCCCTTTTTTTCTTTCTTTTTCTTTTTCAAGCTAGTAATTTGAAAGCTATCATGGATTTTTTAAACATTGATATTAGTTAACATTTTTATATTTGTATGCTGTGGTTATAAAAGTTGTACCATTTTTATCACTAAGTTTCAGGACTTCTCTATTTATGCAACAGGAAATGTGAAAGCCAAACTCTAACACTCTTTGACAATAATTTCATCAAATTTTAAGCTCACTTATTTGAATATTGACAACCAATTAAATTGACGGTGTTTAAAGCGCACTAGTTCATGGTCAGTGATGGAATAAAGAAATCCCCGTCTAGCTATTTTATTGTGAGTTCTTTTGAATTGGTTCAGTGAACCTGTGTATGAAATTTTCTTCGCAAATATACATATTGTATTTTTATTATTGTTGAAGTTATCAATTGAGGGTTCATCACCGGTTTTCCCAAGTTAGCAGCTATTCACATGAGGCCGGTATTCAGCGAGGCGTGGAATGATTTAAGTCATTGAAAGGAGTAAAACTACGAAAAACTTACAACCTTTTCTTAAACGTCATAAGTCATTTAGTCGTAATTTTCAAATCAAGCTACCTTATTTGTTTTATTTTAAAGGTTTTGTGAATTTGCAAAGTCAGAGCATACAGAAATTGTTCAAATAAGTTTTTGTTGTGAAGTATTCTTTTTCCATTTGCCAAAATGATTTAACGCTTCGCTGAAGTCGGCTACTGGAACAGCCCCTTAGTGACAAGAAAGTTTCTGACGCGAGTGTAAAACGATTTCTGTTACCACTGAACGACATGAATTGTGAGGCACTAAGGCTTGTAATAATAAAAGTTTGGCGGTTTTGAACCATAGGTCGAAAGATTTACTCATGTCTGAATCTGAAAAATTAACGATGTAACAACAAACGAGCACTTTTGACTTGGTAAACTTACCCTCGAAGTATTGTGGGCTCAAAGGACTTGCCAAAGATATCATGCTATTAATCATTTTCATATAGCAGAAATGAAAATGATTCAGCAGTGGAAAAGATAAGATGCAAGCTGAACCAATTTCTACAAGACGAAAATAAAATTTGAAAACAATATAGGCGTATTGCTTTATTGATGAGGGATATTTAGTTTAAACGTTCCTAATGAATATGTTGATGAGGGAAATTTGTCAGTAAACATCCCTGTGATAACAAAAGATCACGAGGCAACCATGTGATAAATGTAGTAAGTATATTCTTTAATTCATATGCAATGTTTGTCACGCATGCAATCTTGCGTGTGTTACGTATGAATGGTTTAATAGGTCTTATGTTTTGACAAGGTAGGCAAATCGCACCCAAAATTAACGGCCGTTAACACAAACACTTTCACGAAACCGTAAATATCTTATAAGTTCAACACGAAAAACAAATACATCTCATTAACAACGAATAATTTTACTGTATTTTTGCAGTTTTTGAACATTAAAATATGTTTCAATGCATATGGAAAATGCTAATATTTTTATGCTTTGTGCCAAGTATTTGCAAAACCTATGCTGGGGGACACTCTCCTCGTAATTCGTCATATTTTTGAATGCTCAAACCCTCGTAATTCGTCAATCTGCGATGCGTTTGAGCATTCAAAAATATGACGTTTTTTTAAATAAGTGTCCTAGCATAGGTTTTACAAAATATTTTCCACAAACCCTAAAAACATTCACGTTTTCATATGCATGCATATATTAAATTAAAAACCAAAAATACAGTAAATATTAGTGATAATGAGATGTATTTTATTTATTTTCCATGTACTGAAGAGATATTTTACGTTTTTTAAAGTGTTTGTGTTAACGATCGGTAATTATTGTGCTGAAGAGTTGCCTACCTTGTCAAGATCTAAAACTTTAAGACCATACAAACATGGAATTAACGTGAGATAGCGCGCCTGACAAACATAGCATACGAATCAAGTAATATATTTACTACATAAATCAAGTGCATAAAAGCCTAAACAGTAAAATAGATTTCTCGGCCTAAAATAGATCTATATGGAATTACTGCACAGTTCCTGATTTTATTTATTAACAAAAATCACTAACCTTCATTTAAGTTGGCATTTACTTCGCCAGAATTTCACTCTAAGTTATTTAATTTAGGCAATAAATCGTTTCAGCAATTTAAATTTCCCTTTTTTTAATGGCCTGGCTCAAGACAGACAAACGCAAATCAGAGCAAGCGTTTTTTGCTTATGCTAGTTAATAAAAATATTTGTAAAAAGTATTAAAATGCGTGCATGTTTGTTTTTCAGCGACTTTTCCAGCTGTTGATCATACCTCGCATTATGGCTACTGTCGTATTTATAATTTATGATATGCGTTGCATGATTCGCGAGAAGACGTCCGTCCTTAATTGTTCACAGAATCATAAGTTTGGTGATGCGTTAATATGGATCGGAGCGTGGCTTTTGATGTCCATCCTGTCATCGCTGATGCTTATCATTGTGTTTATATTCGATGATGATTTTGAAATTGAAAAGGAAAAATGCAAAAATATCTATAAGAAAGGTTCTTTCTTTTCTTTGGTTTTCCTAATGATACTGACATTAATATTTTACATTATACGCATATTTTCTGGGACAAAAATTTTTCAGTCTCTCCTTTTTTTTCTATGGGTTCCAATTACTACAACACTAGTTTGTGTTGTGAATTTTGTACCTCGGGTTATGCCACAAACCAAAGAAGTAAAGAAGATAGAGAGAAGGAAGAATTTGGTTTTGCCACAAACCGAAGGGAGTAAAGAAGGTGGGGAGAAGGGAAGCAGATGGAGCAAATGAAAATGGTGGAAAAAGTAAAGCAGATTGGAAAAATGGAGAAAGTGAAGTAGGTGCAGCAAATGGAGCAAGTGAAGATGGTATAGCATGTGGTGAAGGTGAAGAAAGGGAAAAAGTGGAAAATGCGTAGGCAGCAGATAAAATAAGGTGGATGCAAAAGGGCTTATTAAAGTGCAGAACTGATTCTAAGTTTTGGTTCTATTGGGTTGCAGTTTTAATCTACTTCTTTGAAGTATCCACTAAGTTCATGTCTGTATTGCTGGATACCGTACAAGACCTTGCACCTATTGTTAATGCCGCTATTCCTGAAGAAGCAGTTAACTTCAAAGGAGAATTCTCATTTGTTGTTTTGTAGATTGGCATTTCACGTTCGTATATTTGAATTTTTTACGACAAATTATTTCACGGTGACAAAGATCTGTTGTCTGAACCTTCTGACAGACTTAAAGATGATGGAACAAATGAAAATGCAAATATGTGGAAAAGGTGGAAAATGTAAAGAACGTGAAAAAGGTGGAAAAGTCAAACATCATTGAGCTTCAAGATGTTTGATGCAGCAACTACACGGGACCAGACAACTGAGCACCAACTTTTTAATATGCAAAGGCTGTGTAACAAAATAAATATTCGCGCAGCAATTTTAAACTAATAATAATATAATTTACCAGCTCATATCAATTGCAATTCTTCTTTTAATTAACACTAAACTTTAACATTGATATATCACACACGAGGAGTAACAATAAGTTTGTAACAAAAAATTGAGGATAATATGGCATGTAAGATTTGTATTAATAAAAAAGGCTTTTCTGCTGGAGGTTTTACTGAAAGTCATTTTGAAATATGTTCAATAGCGCAAACTTTATATGGTAGTTGTTCATCTTAGCAGGCATGTTACAAACAACTGCACAGTTAACCAGTTTCTGCTGTTTTTACAGGGTCAACCATTAGTTAGCTAGTAGGTTGATTGACTGTGAAACATGTAGAAGTATTTAAACTTTATACACAACTAAACAATGTTAAGGCCCGTTCACACGCTCCAATTTTTCGGATCCGATTGTTTCGGTTAAGACTTTTGGTTACTTGTTCAAACGGTCCGATAGTTTTGTTGACATTTATAATCGTTTAGATATTTATTGTCTTGAGACGATACAGCAGTCAGTTGCACAGCTAAGTAGACCTACAGTATATCCTGTACTGTGCTTCATTTTAGTCGGCTTCCTTTGATGTTGTCGGGGATGAAAATAGAACAGGTTTTATTGCCATCCGATTTTTGAGACGGATCCGACTGTCGGATGCTCACTCTAAACGTGTTCACACGATCCGTTTTGGGGATCCGAGAAATTGGATCGTGAACGGGACTAGTGGGACAATATTTACACAATTTCCCTATAGTCCTTACCCACCACTTGCTCTCATGTGTATTCGTCCAATAGTTTTGAACAATAAGTAAAAATAAATAGCCGTTTGGGAATAAAATCCACACAACTATGGACTCTTTCACTAACTTTCCTGGAGTTAATGCTTAAATAGGCTTGTAAACATAAGATGCTTAATCACCAATCAATCTGAAGCCATGCTATAATTTATTACTAAAGGTTTGAAAATCTTACTAAAAGGAAAAAAACCCTCCAAAAATTTACCAGGACCCAGCACAATCGATTCTGGTGTATCTTCTGAAGTGCAATATATAACACCTATTTCATGTGCATCTAAAAGTAGACTGTAACTCTAATGAAGATCCTTGAGACTAAAAAATGCATTCTATTAAAGCCGATTAACTTAGAAATTGATATTTGTTTATAACAGTGTGTCCTAATCGACAGCACTATCATACTAACTACCTAAAGTACTGTTCTTTGATTTTCCATGTGGATTCTTCCTTTATCAACAAAATCACACAATGCTATTATTGGCAGCTAACTAGAACAATGGCTCAAACCCATATTTCACATAACAGATTCATCTTTTCAATAAAACTGTTTATATAAAGACAACATAAAGATTGGCGAATTCAATGAGACGAAAAGTGAGTTTCATACATGAAGTTTTGCTAATACATGGCAAATGTATATACAGTCAAGTGAAACCTTGTTTATTAGATGAATCTCTGAATCTCTGCTATTGCTGCGAAAATAGAGCCATCATTCAAAATCATCATGAATTTGATAAAAATTATTACTAATCCTTTATTAACCAATTGAAGGTCTTTGATAAATACGGCAAACTCAGAGAAGCTAATGCAAATTTTGTTAAGTGTTTTTTCCACTAGGAGGGATTTTTCAAATTTGCAAGATCATTGGTTCAAAAACAATGACTATTCGTACGATATATTTCAACAGAGAAAGCATTTTGAACAAAAAGTAAGTTTTTATTACGATAAAAAGAAAAACACAGCGAACGTACACATGCGCCCACAATATAACTAATAAACGTAGTTAATACTTCATAACAACGTAGTTAAGAATGTTGAGTGTAATTTACAATACTCCACTCACTCAATATGTCATAATGTTTATACAAGTCCCAGTTTGCATCGCAGATATTCAAATTGTTCTTTTTAGTAATGGTTTTAGTAAAAATATCTGCCACCATTTCCTTGGTTGGACAGTACTTTATTTCGAGTGTTCATCTTGAACTTTCTCGCGCACGAAATGGTGTTTAATATCAATGTGCTTTGTCCGCTTGTGTAGCACTGGATTCTTTGATATAGCGATTGTACCTTGACTATCTTCATGTATGGTTGTACTTGAGTACAATCTATTTGTAGGTCTTTCATCAGTTGTCGCAGCCATACTAATTCTTGGGTTGCATAACACTAAAGCAATGTACTCCGATTCCGACGTTGAAAGAGCAACTGTTGGTTGTTTCTTGCTTGCCCAACTGATTGCACCACCTGACATTAAAAACATTTCCGGAATTTGTGCGTCGATCGTCTGTGTCAGAGGCCCAGTGTGCATCAGAGTATCCCTCTAAATCGATACTGGTTTTTTGGTACTGCAGGCTTAGTTTACAAGTTCCTTTCAAGTAACGAAAGATGCGCTTCACAGCTGTAAGATGTGCTTCATTCGGTGCTGTGTTGAATTTAGCTAATTTTGTTACTGCTTGAGCTATATCTGGACGGAGTAGCAACTGCGCGTATATCAAACTTCCTACCATTGACTGATATGAGAGGCATCGACTGATTTGCTGTGTCCATCTTCTTTATAAGTTTGACGCTTACATCCATTGGCGTAGACACTCTCTTGCGTCTTGTAATTTATACTTTTCAGAATCTTGTTGATGTATTGCTCTTGATTAATTTGTAACACACCGTTCTTTGTAGTAATACTAACTCCTAGGCAGTAGTGGAGTACGCCCATATCTTTCATCTTGAATTGGTTTGCCAAATTGGCCTTTAGATCATTCATCTCTTCTTCAGTTTCAGTCAGAGTATGAGTCATCAACGTGAACAGTGATAATCGCCTGCTTATCTTTGAAAACGAATGAGATACGCAAGGGTCTTGCTTCACTCCTGAACAAATCCTAATGATAACATAAACTCTCTAAAACCGTATTCCAGCAACGTGGACTTTGCTTTAGTCCATAAAACGATTTTTGAGACGACACACTAACTTTTCTTTTCCTGGTTTTACGTAGCCTTCGGGTTGTTGCATTTATATTTCCTCTTTCAATGTTCCATTGAGGAATGCCGTTACTACATCCATTTGATGGATCAACATACCTCGAGATACACCAAAGAAGCCAGAAGAGTGCGAATTGACGAAAAACGAACCACTGGAGAGAATGTCTCTTCATAGTCAATTCCATATTTTTGCAGAAAACCCTAGCCACCAGACGACCTTTAAATCTCTACCTTTCCTGTCTCATCGTATTTAACTTTAAAGACCCACTTGTAACTGATAGGCTTACGACCAGCTGGTAATTCGACTAATTCCCAGGTCTCATTCTCTAGTAAAGACTGGTATTCTGCATCTGCAGCAGCTTTCCATTCCGTTGCATATTCACTATTAGAGCATCTTTTAGGGTTCTGGCTCTGTGATCTCAGATACGTAAAGTGCTGTATACCTCGATGTAGTGATCCCAGCATACTCGTCGTGGTAATATATTGGTGGATTTCTCTCTCTTCCTGAGTGTTGAGGCTCATTTGGCGGATCTTGTTGTTCATTTCTGGCTGCACGAACTTGTCCTTTATTTCTGTTTCATCTTCAGCACACTCGGTAATATCTTCACCACTTCATTTGAGCTTTGTTGATCCAATCTGTTTTACTAAATGTAACGTCCCTCGAATAAAGACTTTTTGTCGATTCTCATCATACAGCCTGTATCCTTTCTGTAAGGCTGTAACCAGCATAAATCTCATCTTGACTGCCTTTTTGGTTGAATTTCTGGCGCCCGCATCACGAACATGAGCATAAGCAGTACAGCCGAAGAACACGAAAATGGGACACATTTGGCTTCTTTCCATACCATCTTTCATACGGAGTTACCGCAGTTGCAGTCATAATGACTCGATTTCTTATGTAGAATTATATAAGAACTCGTGTTTAAACATCAGATCACACCTGATGAAGACACTAGACTGAAGTATATATGAACTTAAGTTTCAACATCGATCACTCCTGATGATGACACTAGACTGGATTTTATAAGAACTCGTGTTTAAACATCAGATCACTCTAATGGAGACACTAGACTGGAGTATATAAGAACTCGTGTTTAAACATTAGATCACTCCTGATGAAAAACTAGACTGGAGTATGTAAGAACTTAGTTTCAACATCAGATCTCCAGATGAAGACACTTGACTGGAGTATATAAGAACTCTGGTTTCATGAGCAAGAAATTAATAAGTGTTCAACCATATTATATTGTTTCCAGGTAAGGAACAAACTCTTGACAAAATGGAATAAGTTCGTGAATCACTGGAATCTTTAGCTCAACTACATTTTGAATTAGATGTTGATGAATCACTTCGGTAAGTAGGGCATTATTGAAACAAAATTTTTGAAATGAAAACACTGTTTTCATGTATTCACCGTTCATATTGATTTAACTCAAACTGGTTTTAAATATCCATGGTTTGAGGTTCACCCTCAGTTTTGGGTTCAAAACATCACTATTTCATAAGCAATAAAATTATATGCAAAATGTAGAATTGCAAGTAAAAAATTTAATGCAAAATGCATAGGCTTTAATGTTTGCTCAGTGACTATAAAGTTTGTTTATTAACTGTGTAGAGCTTTCCACTGGCTGTAGAATTTGTTCAATGGTTTAGAGCTCAGTGGTTGTAGAGTTTGTAAAATTTTGCTCATGTTTTAGAAAAGAACACGAAGTGTGAAGAAACCGTAATCTTGAAAAACTCATGAAAGATGTGAGTATTTGAAGGATAGTCATTAGTAACCGTACTTTTAAAGTGTTTCAAGAACAAATGTACGTACATATCAAGTATTGGCAACTTTTTCCAAGTCTTCAGTTAAGTAGAAATCTTTGAAAGAACCGTCTTTAAACAAACGTTAATTTAGAGGGGGGACTGTTTTCATTTATTCTCTTATGCCAGGCTGATTTCTTATGAAAGTGACATGTTTGAAAGAAATTAGTCAAGCATAGTAGGATGTATGTTAACATTCGCTTGACGCCATGCTTGAAAGATATTGAAATGAAAAAGTTCATCAACGGTACTGCTAGACTGGTTTTCAGTCCTGAATTCCTAATCAGTTGCCTTCCATTGCTGGCTCAGATCAACTGTCAGCATGTAACAATAAATATAAATACATGAAACGCTACCTGTAATAGAAATGCTCATAAAAAAGCCAAATCTTTACATTCAGACACGCGAGGATTTTGGCATGTTTTCATGGATGTGTTTTTCGTTTGCGTGGAAAGACTGGTAACGACGTATCATGTTTGGTATTTTATGAAACTGCATCCACAGTTACTTACTTTTTCTCATTTTTGTGAGAAAATGATACACATGTCATTCCTCTTGGTTTTTTTTCGTATATCTGTGTAAAGTGTGTCAATGTCAATGGTTTAGTGGGTAGCCAGCCCGCATGTTTAATTAGGCTATGTAAATATTCCTCTTTACTCACTGTAAAACAATGTATTTCTAAAGAAGTAAATAACGATCATAGAAATTTACCTGCGCAAAATAATCTTTTCAATGTGTTTTTGAATGATTTTATGAGGGTAAGAAATTATAGAATACAGATTTGTCAAAGCTCAAAAATATGTTTTCTTTTTATTTTCAGCTTGAAAGTTAAGCTTATCGATGTATCCTTTTACGCTGCTGTTCAAGCATAAAGCTTCACTCCATCTTAGTTTTTCTGCATTTAAAATCGCTGACATAGGCAGCCTGCAAGATTACCATTCTACTCATTTCAGAATATCATTATTCAAGTCCCTGCAATCAATGCTGGTGATGCATCAATTTCTTTAAAGCGCACAGGTATGCGCATGCCTGACGACAACGGTTTCACCCTGTTAAAATATACTTTAAGTATACTAAACAGTTACCTCTGAGGGTGGGGTGGAACCGTGATTTGTGGGTAGCGCCAGTCCTTTTAAAAACTATTCAAAAACTATCACTGTAAGTTTTTTGTTTATTTGAAAAATCCTCTTATTTGGGGGTGGGGGTGAGGAGGGTTGAAAAATTTCAATGTATACTTGGCTTTGACCAATCATGGGACAAATGTGTAGGAGTAAGCGTTCCAGATGTATTTTAGTTCAATGGGCTAGGGGAGATAACCTTTCGAGCAAGCGTTTAGTTTTATTATCTTCCTTTCTATTTTATCCATGACTAGATTTGTCAGACAAAATCTTCATCAAAACGATCAAAGCTAAGTTAAAAATTGCTTTTTTTCGCCTTATAGTCCTTAGAAGAAGTTTGTTGCAACTTTTCAACATCAAACGTTATTAAGAATGCGTGAAAACTGTGTATATTTGAAAATGAGCATCAATGATCAAAACCTGAGGACAGTGGCTTTAATAAATTTAGTGTCAAAATTCATAGATGGCAAAGAAAACTTGACTTGTTGTCCCTCTAAGTAATACTTCAAATTAACTGATCAATTGACTAATTATAGACAACCTTTATTAGTAAAATCAAGTTTTTTGCTGTCTGCCATTCTTCTGTGTGAAATGCAAACTGTCAGATTAGTCGTTTCAGTTAGTTTGATATGTGTTCTTTCACATGAAACATGACATAGCCTTGCATTTAGTCGGAGACATACTAAAATTTGGACCCAGATTTACATTTAACTTGCGTTAAATCTTGTAAAGAATTATCCAGGAAAACATTCGTACCAAGTTTTGTGAAAAATTAGCCCACGAAACAAGTCTGACTGACAACGAGGCAGAAAATCTTTTCTCCTATCGACTTTCACCTGAGAGGTATGGTTTGATGGTTGACATGATTTATAACGGTTGTACTTAAAGAAATGTGGAACATAATTTCCATAATTTCGTGCTCTACATTGTCAGTCTTTGTACATTAAGAGTGGTTTTGAAATGTAGATGTGTAGCCAGTTCGCAAGTTATTTCGTGCTATGTACAATATGTCTGCGTTCATTCACTACATGGAAAATAGATTTCTAAAGAAAAAATGACAATCTTCTGTAATTCACATTGCGCGACCAAACTCGCTACGTTATTGTCTGTGTATATTTCATGTATTTTTCCAGCCCATTAATTCTCGATAAAGACCGAGCAAAGAGAGGTTAGTAAAAGGTATGTACATTATATGTCATGAGACATTTGTATATTTTCTGTTTGCTTTAGAACTTTAGAATTTTTTTCTAATGGATCGCTAAGTATGTGTTTAAAGTCAATCAAAGCATGCTAATTCATTTGGAACTAACGCTTACAACTGTATAACCGATACCATTGGCAAGCTCCTTCTCTTTTTCTTTTTCACCATATTTTCTCGTATTTTCGTTTCCAAAGATTTCATCTTTTCCATAAGCTTCTGTACTTTTCTCTTCCAATGATTTTACCTTTACTTCCTTTGGATGACTTTTTATACCAAGCTATAGAGATGAGTAAATTATTGGGCAAAAAGGTGTCTTTATCTAATGAATAACTTTTAGTTTTGAGATGGCTATACGGCGTCAAGCTTTTATTTCTTTGAAAAATGGAGAGGAACTGTTTCGAATCATCAGAAATATTCCAAAGAGCTCAGTGGGGTTTAAATGGCTATGTATTATATCCAAACAAAAAAATAAAATTAACAGGTGTTTATTCTCATTTCATATATATTTATTAAACAAAAATAATTTCTCAACAGAAAAACTGTTACTAACACTATAGTATAGTTAATTATATTATATGGTATAGAAAAATTACATGACTGTGGCTATACAAACATATTGAATATTAGCAACATGATTTATACTGTTTATATTTATTTTTGAATATGACTGCCAGAAATCTTTAACAATCTGTCAAATATGACAGCTCGAAAATATGGGTAAAATGGTCTCTACTATCAGTAATCAACTCTGTAGAGTTTTTGCATTAAGGATTGACTTCAAGTTGATTATGAACCAATTCTAATTTAAGCTCATCACTTATAAATCATTATTAATTTTCCAGCATCATTCTAGTATGACAAAGCGCAGCCAAATTAGCTCATCTGACATAATTGTTATCTTAATTCATATTTTTTAAATGTAAAATTGATACGAACAACTTACATTCTTAACTTCAAAACCTGTTTATATTAGATGTTAGTACTTTGTTTTCCACGCAATTTTGAATAAACATTCATTTGAATATTGACTATTATGTACTTCGTGTATTATTTATGCTTATGTAAGATCATTCTGACAAAATTTTACGAGTCAATAGTTCATTTATGCTGAGGTCTTACAATTTTAATTAATCTATGGCTAATTACATTTCTTCGAGTAATTTCAATAATAATGTGTTATATTTCATAACTAAAAGCCATCCTTTGTGGTTAGAAATCGATCCATTCTAACAGTATATCACGATCAATGTTCACTACGGAAAGTGTACTGGGGTAAATGTCCCAAGTAGTTATATAGTTCTATAGTTCAAAATGGCCTGAAAGAACCAGAACTTTGTATACCAGAGTTTGTTTACTCCTAACTATTTGCTTTTTACGATTTTACTGGCAGTTTTATGAAAGCTCCATCGAATACCCTTTGCACTTTTACATAATGACTAATTTTACATAAACATGGACAATACAATACTTAATCAAACATACAACACAAGTAGCTAAAGAAAAATCTAGGCTAAAACGTTCATTCTCAATTCTCAATGGTGATTTGTGAAAGAGCGCAATTTTACAAAAACTTCCAGGAGCTTACTTGCTTATTTTTTTATAAATGCATCAAGCAACATAAAATTCCAAATACTAAAAACACTATTATCTTTAAATATTTCAAAACTGCTTTGTCTGATTTATAATTTAGAGTATCATGTTTGTAAATGATTATCGTCAGGTTAATAAAGTCCTGAAAAGGACTGTGCATTGTTGTTGACTGGCGTTTCAACAACCTTAGCGGTAATCATCTTAGAGTCAAATGAGGAGTAAACGCCAGGTTAGCCGTATTTGTTATCTGGTTCTTACGTCATTGTATTTATGTACAGGAAATGTGTATTGTCATTGTGAATTAGGTATGAAGTTAAATATTTATTTTTAGTTGTGATGTGTGATTTAGGTGAGATTGTTTTTTTTTAGTTGTAATGTGTAGATTGTCAGTTGTGTATTGTCATTGTGAATTAGTGTGAAGTGTAATGTTTTAGTTGATCGTTTTGTTTGTATTGTGAATAAGTCGTTTGTAAAATGCCGGTAATTGCTGTGATCTGTTCAGGTGGGTTTGTTCAAGTTGGTATACCAACTTTTTAATGTAAATAAAATTGTCTATAGTCAGTGCTGTAAGTAATGCATTTTGCCGAGTCCCAGTCAATGTTGTGCTTTGCGATTCGGTGATGTTCGGCAATGTGTTAGATTTTGTCTTGTTTCTTAGCAGCTCGTTTGTTTTGAGTAAGTCTTATGTTTAAGTTCCTGTAGTTTCCCCGATATTGGAGGCGTGGCAGTCAGACAGTTTATTTTTGTAGAATGCACCTTGTCGTTCGTTGGATTTTTCTTTGTCCCTTATGGTACTTCCAGTACTTGTCGTAACGTTGTGATTGGTTTATGTGCGATACGTATGTTGTATGGTCGTAAGTGCAAGACCAGTCTCAGACGTACCTTTGATGTAAGGTGTCGTTGCTGTTGTCACCTGAGTTGTTCGTTTCGTTGGGTTCGACTGCTTTCCGACTGCCGCCTCCTATATCGGAAACTGCCAGGAACTTAAACGCAGACCTCAGACAAACGAGCTGCTGAAACAAGACAAAATTAATCCACGTTGCCGAACATCACCGAATCACAAAGCACAACATTGACTGGGACTCGGAAAAATGCATTACTTACTGCACTGACTATGACAACGGCTTACATTAAAAGTTGGTATACCAACTTGGAACAAGCCCACCTGAACAGATCTTAATTACCGGCACCTTACAAACGACTTATTCACAATACAAACAAACGATCAACTAAAACCTTACACTTCCACACTAATTCTATGACAATGCACACAACTGACACTTACATTACAACTAAAACAATTCACCTAAATCACACATCACAACTAAAAATAAAATGTTGCTTCACACTAATTCACAATGACAATATACATTTTCCTGTACACACAATACAATGACGTAAGAACCGGATAACAAATACGGCTAACCTGACGTTTATATTCTGAAGATGACTACCGCTAAGGTTATCAGAACGTCGATCAACAACAACAAACACTCCTTCTCAGGTTTTATTAACCGGACGTTCATCATTTTACAAACGTAACGATGCTCCCGGGTTCCAACCATTTATTTAATTTAGAGTTTAACACATACCAAAGTGCTGAAGTTGGGTTAACCTTTTCTAAGGACATCTCCAAACATATTACGACAGTCCGGGCTCAAACTATTCACTTTAAAAGATGGTGTACATAATTGCTCTTTCATTAAACTTCATTTAAGTTAACAGTAAAAAATTGCGCTCGCTGTTGTTAAATTTTGATGAAGGATAATAAAATCATTGAACCAACCATCTGTAACGACAGGAAAATTGGAATGAGGAAATTAGGCAGTTTCATTTCCAAAAGATATTTGTCAAATCAAGATCACTAGACTTGAGTCAATGTTCTCCACCAAATAAGAAAATAAAAGAAGAAAGTCAAATTTTAAGATTATTAAGGTTGGTTAATATGTACTTTTATTGCTTGTTTTAATACTTTATACCATTATGTATAACGCCAGTAATAAATAATATAAAGATTCACAAGTGTATAATGCACAAAATACAGAAGTACACAAGTAATAAATGAAATACAGATATTTTCTCATAAAGAGATTTTTCCTAGCTATATTGTTTTATGAAAAAATTTAAAGATAAAGTTCATTTATAAAGAAATATATATTTATCATTTTAACAAAATATGATGGCGGAAGTTAGTTTCATTAACATACACATAAAACTACAGAAGCCTTTTAAATTTGCAGTAATATCAAATTTTTTTTCATTATTTAAGTTTTCATAACACTAGTTATAAATTATACAGCCTACAAAGTCCGTTTTCGCAGCCAGTGAATATAGACACTTTGTTAAAAATGTCGAAAATGAGAACTATTGTCAACTTTAGTCGTACTTCGGAAGCTCAGAAGCTGGCAAGCAAAAGCCAAAAATGTTTCCCTAAAAATAAATCTAAAACAAACAGCTTGAAATAAAGATAGATACAAAATAACTTGGCTTAAATACGTAAATTATTGTGTTAAACGTTAAATGCGTTTACGCTCTTTATAGGATTGTCAACAGGAGGT